GGAAGAGTAGGCGTAAGCAGATAGATTTCAAAGGAGTAGCGCTCGTCAATGCTCTACTATCTATGAGACTTCAGTATGTCCGTCGCAGTTCGCAACAAGCAGGGAATGCTTGGTACTTAGGTACTCAAAACAAGGTAAGATGGCCTATGACAATCCCCCGGCACCTCGGAGGATCACAAAGCCACAGTGAGTGACTCAGTCAGGCACATTTGAGACCTATATTTCAGCAACTATGCGTTCAGGTACGAGAAGATGAACCTAGAAGCTCTGCAATGCATCAACTTTGCAACACTTTGCAACCAAGGACAAGGCGAGCCCCTCTGCATATGCTGTCCACCCAGTCATCGTTTTCAGCTAAGCGTGACTGCGATCGAGCGTATACTGCTTGTCAGCAGAGTACAGTGATTTCCCTGCCGAAAGAGGTCAGCATTGACATGTGAGTTTTCTACCAGAATCAGGGCGAGAGATTATCTCAGCGACACGTCATAGCAGGTACGACGTGAGAGAGGTGTGTCAGAATCAAGTGCCGGATCACTGCCGACCGTATGCTGATGTATCCACATATCATTTGGATTCACATTTCGAATCGTTGCGATGTTCAGGTCGAGAGGTTCCTCAACAAGCCGGAAGTTAAGAAGAGTTTCGGAGTAGACCCGGCATTTGACTATAAGCGCTACAACCCGAAGGTGCACCCCCCATGGTTGGCGGATCTTTTCGAATGGTCTTCCGCGTTCAGGTAGACGAGGCTATACGGCGCAGTCCCGGATTCTACGCGGACTCCTATCAAACTCTAGGTCCATTGATGGACAACAACGCTCTGAAAGTAAGATAAGCTTTACATCATGGATGAACTTCGTTCCATGCATCATCATGGCATACGAGGAAAAATTACCTACTACCGATTGCTTCTAGAGTCTACCACAGCTTATCCAGGTTACTGGATACTATCTGGTCTCTCGGTTATCAGTCAATGGTAGCACAACGACATTCACCCTCGCAAGATTGCATCCACATGCCTTTATATTGGCGTGGTCCTAGCTTTAATAGTGATTCGGTTTGGTAAACATTTTCACCGAACAGATAGTCGGTGAATATGTCAACCATCTAAACCGGAATGTTCGTCTTAGCTTCTCGTGGTAACTGGTGACTATGGTTACGCGTATCCGTGGACGGCTTCGAAAGAGTGGCTTCTGAATGTCAAGTTTAGTCAACAAGAAGCCTTCAAGAATACGAAGGATGCTGACTTGAAAGTGAGCAGGAGTTCCCATTTCTTGAATTCAGTGGACTTCGTTGTTCTTGCATTCTCAGACGAGTCAGACAACCGTCATTGGGCAGATCAGATTCTTGAAGCTACCGCATAAGGCCAGGATAATCTTTGTTAGGGTAAGTTCGGATAATCATCAAGTCTCCCGTCTTCATGAAGTGAAATGGAATGCTGCAAGCAGCGCTGTTCAGACTCGTGCAACCTAAGCCTCATGGGGTTATGCAATCCTGAGAGAGGTATACCACGCAATCTTGTTGATTCATTGATAGAAATTGTCAGAGATTGTCAATCTGTAGAACAGTCTTGCGATGCCACTTACCACTTCGAATAGCGACTAGGACTATATTCAACTGACTAGGAGTTTGCAACCGCCATACAGTATGGCCCATCCTATGACACATGACTTCACGTATGGATCGTGCCTCTGATTCGGGTCCTCTTCTAGGTGTACGGAGCCGGGCAGGACGTGACTGTGAAGAGAGCTTTGCCGCTTCTGAGAATCTTGAACTTCTTCGTATTTGATAATTTCCCAGTTTGAATCCCATTACTAATGTAACAAATTATTGGTGTCACCATTCTTGTGTAGCTTCTGCTGTCATCTTTGGTCACGTTGGTTGACTACATAGCCACAATATTTGCGTTGCGTTGGTTCGCTGGATCGAACATGGAGTCATTATGCGCGAACCATATGAAGATGCCATCTTCAAGATGGGTATCAACCATTGCCGGCGTCACTCCCAAAAAGTCACCACAAACCCCTGATTCACCTAGGACTAGTATGGCCATACCTCTCCTTGACTTGACTCGTGAAATGGCAGTGGAAGTCGATCCGGAGTCAGTAAGAGTGATACAGTGTTCACCGAGCCACTGGAACTGAAGTGAAACGACAAGTGGTGAACGACAGTCAGTTATCGGCCGCCCTGATGCAGTAAGCCTGGCAGTCATAAACAACTTCTTTACGGGCAGTTGTGGAAAGATGGACACGCTAGGCTAATCCGCGCCAGCTTGAACAATCGAGGCAGCAGATGGATTCTACGACTAGACCTTCAGTTGAGTCCTGTTGTACGGAG